AGAGAATATTAACTTACAGCGTTCGCCTGGGATTCATTTTCGAAGATGTAACCTCTCTCACCATCATCCCCAGCGCCGTAATCCCCTCTAACTGCCAGGTCCTCTGTCCTAGCATTAAACCTCACCAGCAGCTGCGTGGCTGGACAGTTAAGATTATATATGATGTAAATATATTGTGGGTTTGTCAGCTCTCCCTACACCATAAAACTTGGTTTAATGACATCACGTGGTCCCCCAAGAGCCACTCACGGGCTTGCCTTCAGGCCATTCACATAAATAACCTCCAAAAGTTTCAAACTCCTAAATTCACATAGAAGCTGTTAGTATTTCTCTAATGCTCAGTTACACTAAAAAGCCCTTGTGCTGCTCCTTTGCCCCACCCCCACACCCCCCCTGCAGGGTGGGGAGGGGGGAGAGGGTGGATCCTTATTTATTTACTTATTTCCATAAGGACCTGTCGACTTCGAGGTCGTGTTGATATTTTTTCCTCCTATATTTTTTCCTCCTCTCTCCTCTAATTGCTCAGAGTGGGCCGTGTCCCTCTCTTTCCACTCCCCCGGGAAGGTAAGTCATGCTTCTTCCCGTTCTTTCTCGCTGCCAGAGGGGGTGGGTTTCATGGCAAAGTGGAAAGGCAGGCTCCATGGTCTCTGTTTGGGACTCAGAAGCCCCTCCACTAACCCCCAGAGCAATGCCAAAACCCGGTGCTTAGAGATTGTTCCAGGAGACTGATTGGTGGGGGAAGCTTTCCAGATTCCAAAGTAGTAACCTCTGCTCAAGGAGAAAGCAATGGTCTGGGCCGGACCCATTCCCAGTACAGGGGGAGTAGGTCCGAGGCCTCTGGCTAGGTTGTAGCTGCTAATGCCGTTGAAGCAGAGGCTGGGATCTGGGTGCAGACTTGCAGCCTGTGACAGGAGGGGAGAAACAGGCAGGCATGGCTGCATCTACCCAAGCCTGGCCAACTTGAGTCAGTCCTCCAGCTCTTCAGAAAAGAGAGGCCTAAACCCTGGGAGGAGGAAGCAGTCAGTGTACCGGTGGGGCTGGTTAGCCCTGCCCAGTGGGCCTGAGCAACATTGCCCCCACCTCTGACAAAGCCCTTGGTTCTCCCTCTGAGGCAGTGTATCCCCCAGGGTGGAAGCGCAGGACCTCTACAGCCAGGGAGGCTGGGGCGGGCCATGTTGGGCTCCACAGCCTCTTTCTTAGTTAACTGTTACCCATTGGAGATGCCGGTGCTTCTCCACGCTTCACCGCTCACCCAATAGTTTTACTCAGCATGGAGAAAAAATTAAAATAACTCCCTGAAGAAAATTACACATTTTATTTGAGACAGGCGGCAGGGGCGGTGGGGGGGGGGGGGATCGAGAGAGGAGATGAGTTGGTGCTGGGCTGGGCCGACTGCTGTGTGCTAGTGGCTCCTCCAGACATTACCGGGTGCCCTAACCTGGCCTGAGTGCAATGTGAAGGAGAGTAGCAATGAGTGCAGTTCAATAAACCAGTGAGACCTCCTATGTGCTAGGCATGGGGTGAAGAAAGGCTCTTGGATCTTTTCAAAAATGACAAACAGGTAGCTTAGGCAGTAGGATGAAAAGAAGTTAGTCCTTATAATAAATCCAAGGAGCATCAGGATTAATAACCATAAATATTCCCCTGTCCCTCTCCAGAGCCTCTCTGCTCACTTTCTCTCTTGGCTGTTGGAGCAGCCTTCTACCCAGCTCCTGAACCTTTCTCCCTACACCAATGTGGGGGGCCTAGGCTTGGCTCCAGGAAATCACCCCATTGTGGGAGGCAGGAGAGGAAATGCAGTAAAGTTTTATGGACCCTTCCCACATTTGTTTCTCCTATAAAGTACTTCCTCCCCCATCCCATCCCAAGAGTCTGGAGCAGAGCAGAGCCTGGGCCTAGGCCAGCCTCAGGCACCACCTGAATTATCTGCCTTTTCCCCGTCCCTTTAGCCCATCCTTCCCCAACACAAAATCCCAGAGACTGAGATAAATGATGGCAAACAGACACGACTCAGGCACTGGTATATGTGGCTCCTTTTCCAGCTAATTGTCCAGCAAAGGCCTAGGCCCTAGAATGTAGGGGTGACAGTCTGAAAGATTCCTGCTAGGCAGGTACAGGCTGCAGATTGCTCTCCCAACTCCCTCTCTCCCAGTATCTGAGAAAGCTGAGCCACACCTCCTCCAACTCCTCCAGCACCCCTTTACTAAGCAGTATCAGCTCTTTCTGAAGCTGGGACCAAATGGACCCCTAGGCTGAGCGCTCAGTCCTCCCTCTACATCCAGTGAGGCCCTCAGGGACCACTTAGTCCTGGGAGAGATAGTCAGAGGCCCAGAAGTTCCCTGCAGATTAGTTCTGGCATGCAGTGAAGGCCGCTGCCAATCTAGAAGATTCAAATCCACCCAGCCAAGAAGAGAATGGGGTGCAGAGGCCTGAATGCCTTGGACAGTCACCAGTACAGGTGTCCTGGGTGTCCTCCCCTTCCTCCACGGGCCCTTCTTGGAACCAAGGATCAGGATAGGAACTCAGTTTCACCTCCCTTGTCTCAGTACCCCAAGAAACTCCTATAAATTCCCTTAAAGGAGAAGCTTAAGGGCTGTGGCCCTCTCCCTACATCCCACAGCCCATTTAGACACTTTTGCCCAATACATGCCCCAAACAGAGAGGAGCCGCTGCATCTTTAGTCCTGTTCTCTTTTTGTCTTTATTTGATATGACAAAATATAGTTTCAGGAAAGACCTGGCGTCAATAAATAGTTGTATAACAGCAATGGGGCAGGAGGGCACAGAAAGTCGGCAAGGACTACTAGGCAGCCAGGAGCCTCTAGTACCACTTGCTAGGGTCCTGTGGCAGGGAACCCCAATAGTTGAGCTAGCTAGTGGTCAGAGACTGAAGGCCTAAGAGTGCATGCAGAGGATGCGGGCTGGAGCGGTTCTCAGGCTTTGGGGTTAGGGCAGAAGGTTTGGAGAGTTAGGGCAACCAAAGGGCCCTATCGGACTTTCAGTCATCTCCCCCTTTTCATATGCAAATCATAAAATGAATATCTTGAGTTAGTCACTATAAGGAAGCACCCCAAGTCCGGCGCCGGACCCCCTCAGGCATAACCACTCTCTTGCCTGCCCCAAGCTGCCTGGCCAGCCTAAACTGGGAACAAAGGAGAAGGCGAGGCCAGAGGATCGGGGCGCGGGGCCTGGGGCGCCGGAAGGGCCCACCTTAACTCGGACGGGCCATCCTGGGGTTGGAAGCCTGAGAGGTGGCCCAGGCCGGGGTTCGGTCAGCTCCAGCCCGTAAGCCACAGCCCTGGGGAACCCCTGCGGAGCTTGCCCTGGGACCCCAATGCTGAGCAGAACTGAGGGGAGTCCGGACAGCGCGGGCGGCCCCGTGGGAACCTGGGGTCGGTTGGGATGCGAAATGCCAAGGGATAGCGCTTTTGTCTGTGCGGCCCTGGAGTCGGTGCTCCAGCCACCGCCCTTGCCCCAAAATATAGAGAGAGGAAAATCGAAAAGGAAAGGCGCAGGGAGCGAAGCGGGCTGGGGTGCTTTCGGCGGGCCTCCCTGCTGCCTCTAAAGAGCCTCTTTGCTTTTCATTTTGGAATCTTTCTTCCACTTCATCCTGCGGTTCTGGAACCAGATCTTGATCTGTCTCTCGTTGAGACACAAGTTGTTGGCGATCTCTATGCGCCTGCGGCGAGTGAGGTAGCGGTTAAAGTGGAATTCTTTTTCCAGTTCCAGAGTCTGGTAGCGCGTGTAACTGGTTCGGGACCGCTTGCCGTCCGTCTCTGGAACATAACATCCCCCCCCGAAGCCGGAAGGGGTGAATAGCGTGCAGCGCCCCAGGGTCCCCACCCCAGCCCCAGGCCCCCACCCACGGCCAAAGGGCGAGGAGGCGAGCAGGGTGAGACAGGCCCGGCGGGCCGCGGACTGGCCCGGCCCAGGCCAGCCCCGGGAGAGGTGCCTCTGCCCAGGCAGGAAACTTTCCGCCGCAGCCTTCACTCAGCAGCCGGAGTGGCTGAGGGGTGGGGGGAGAGGGAGACCCAGGCTCGGACCGAACAATAAGCACCCTCGAGATCCGAGCACCGGGGACCCCCCTCCCGCCCCTCCCGAGTCGCTGGAATCCTCCGGAGCGGCGAGCGCCGGCCGAGCCGGCTCCACAGGGGAGGGAGGGAGCCACGGGGGGATCCCCGCTCTGGAGCCCCGCGCTCCTCACCCTTCAAATCCCTCTATTTTTTTAACTCCCTCCCTCTCCCCCAAAAATTGAATATTGCCTTTTATACACGTTTTGTTCCTATGATCCAATTATGTCGTCGTAAATTTGGGCGCACACAGCCTCTAAGCCTTTTAGTGGACAGTTTTACGAGCCATTGATGCCTGGATCGTAAAATTTATGGCCGCAGGTTTTTTTTCTTTATTTGCCCCGCATGGCCTATAAAACCCAGGCGGACCCGAGCGCGCAAAATGAAGTCCTAAAGTTTACCGTGGCTCATGTGCAGTTTGGTCATCCACGGGTAAATCTGTGGCGGGGCCGGTGGCTGGCTCAGTCCGGCAGGCTGCCCTGTCTGCGCCTGCTCCTCTTTGATCTCCCCACTGCTCTTAGCTCGCTCCTCCAGCGCTGGGCGAGCCGCCTTCTGATTGTACATCCCGGGGTTCAGAGGAGCCGCTTCATCTCTGCCCAGAGCGTGTCCCGGAGCGGCCGCGGCGCTGCAGGCGGGGCGGTCGGGGTGAGCCCGGGGGTTGGCAGCCATGTCTACCCCGTGGAGAGAGTTGGAAGGCGCAGGCGGTGGGAAAGTGATGCTTAAGTCCAATCCACCGTAGCAGTACCTGGATGCCTGCACCTCTGAGGCCGATCCATAGTTCCCACAAGTTTGCATGTTATAGGCAGGGATATTGGGGCTCTGCTTATAGAACGAATTGGCTACGTAGGAGCTCATGGCGGGGAGGGCCCAAAAAAATTTCTGCACCCTTTTTGATTAAGGGTGATTTGTGACTCTTTGAAGTTGAGGGGTTTTTTGTTCTCCAAAGTGCACAATTTATAGGTGGAGATATCTCTTTCTTTATCCTATGCGCTCTTCCCAAATAAGGGAGCCTTAAATAGAGTCACGTGACTTGAGCGGCCACTCATAAATTTGGCTTGATGACCTCCGGGAGGTTAGTGATGGAAGCCGGCGAAACGCATCTTGATATGTTGGCAAAGCCCAACCAAGGGGGAGAGGGAGTGAGCGAGAAAGAGAGAGAAGGGGGAGAAAAAAAAATGGTTCTTGGAATTGGGGGGTAGCCGGGACAACGAGCCCACAGCGACACCTGGTGCCAACACGGAGGAATTGCAGCCTTGCGCGCAGACTTGCCTTCCAGGCCGCTAGATTTTCTACCCTGCAGAGCGGAAGCTGGTTGTTGCTGCAACAAACCCCTGAAATGGCCTTTTAAATTGTATTTAAGGAATGATGAGGCTTCATTTAGGATGCATGAACGTTGTTTTTTATAACGGATAGTTCTATCCTCTCCACCCTGAGAGCCTTCCAATCTTCAAAAATGGCTGAGGGAAGGGGATTTAGGTGGGGGGCCCCCTGCCCAGGTTGGACATCTGAGGGGGCTTATCTCAGGTTCTCTATACCAAGGGTGGAGACTTCTCCCTGGAGGTTCCAAGGCCCTGATATTGCTGAGGAGGTTCTTGTCAGCATGGGAAAGTGAACCAAGTCTCTGGAGAGGTGGCCAGGAGGGATCCTGGGTGGGCAGAACTAGATGGGGGGTAGGGGGGAGGTGGTCATGAGACTGAGAGTGCTGGGGACTCTGGGAGAGAAGAGCCTGGAGATGAGGAGGCAGGAAAGTTGAGTAGACCTCCTCACCATGCCAGAGACCCTCAAGTGGCAACAAGGCAATTTTCAAGTGTGTGTGTGTGTGTGTGTGTGTGTGTGTGTGTGTGTGTGTGTAGAACCAGGCACAATGGCCTGGAGGACTGCTGTGCTTCCCTATGTTTGACCCTATGCCAGATATTTTGGATCGAAAATAGATATTAATTGAGGGTATGGAGAAGCAAGATTCAAGCCTCCAAAAATCTGAGTAGGGCAGAGGAAAAGGCCTGTTTTGTGCCCTGTGCGGGGAAGGCCTCTGGACTAGGTTCTCTAGGAACCTGGATCCAGAAGGTCCACCGGAGAGGAATTTCTGAGCTATGTGAAAGCATAGAAAGGACCTGGCTGGGGGTAGGGGGATGGGGGGTCGGCAGGGCAGGCGCCAGGGCAACCTTCACAGCCCGTGGCTCGGGTCTCTGCAGCCGTTCGGCCCCTTTCCGACCCCCCTTCCCCTAGCCCCAAGTCTTATTCTTTCCTGCTTGCCTCTCCCCAGGAAATCTCCGCCCCTGCCAGGAGAAGGCCCCTCCTGCCCCCCCCGCAGGCGGAGGCGCTGGAGGGGGCGCTGGCGGGGATCTGGAACGTCTGGAAAACTCTGGCGGATTTTTCCCTCCGGGAGACCCCCTCACTACCTCACCCCCTAGGTCCACTCAGGTTTCTGTCTGGACTTAGGGAGAGAAGGCCTGAGCCGGGGAAAGGTTAGGGCCTGGCTGCGCTCCTCACTCGCGGTGTTCAGGGGAGAAGAAAGAGTGAGGAACCGGAATGGGGCTAAAGCTGTAAGGAAGAAGGAATTTTGTCCCAGCCATGTCAGGAGTCCCAGAGCAGACGAGAGCTCAGTTTCCAGGCTTGCTTTTTCGAGATGTCCTTGAATCGTTCAATCCCTGGCGAAAGACTCAAATCCTGCGGTCTTCACTCTCCCCTCCGCTCTTTGCCTCCGCCACGTTTCGCAACAGTCGGCCTGGCGCAGGCCGGGGGCCGCTCACAGGGCGCCCCCTCCTCATTCGGGGAGTGGGCGGGGTGACCCTGGTGCCTGGATAATGCTGCTGTTCTGGCTTTTGAGGCTCGGGGTTCAGAAGACAAGGACCCCAGACTATCACAGGCAGGAAGAAAGGCCTCTGTGGGGCTGAAGACCAATCCGACTAACCCCGGCTTTCCCCCTAACCCCTATGGAAATCCCATGCGGCCTTATTTTGCGGGGTGAGTGTGTTGCTCCGCGTCAGGAGCCCAGAGAGACCTCTCAGCACCCCAGCGCGATCACCAGAAGGGGAGGCCAGGGCTGGCGCCCCACTCCAGGAAAGGATAGTGCAGGGGCTGGGGGCTTGCAGGCGGCAAGAAGACGCGGAGCGCTGGGAGCCTGCTCCAACTTTCACCCCGAGGCTGGCGGGAGAGCGAATTAACAGAAATCCCGATATAAACTTTTAAAAATAATATCAGTTTTATTAAATATTCGAGAACGGATCCAGAGGTTGGATTTATACAAGAGGGTAACACGAGGGGATTTTTTTTTTAATTTATTTTTTTTTCTCCTACTGGCTAAACAAATGTCATTCACTTTTTTTCTTCCTTTTTGTAATTTTCTCTCTCTTTTTTTCCCCCTTTTTAAGATGGGATTGGAACACGGACAGTGCTAAACATAAATATAAATACAGAAATCACAAATACAGCTAAAAATATTCACACAGAAACGGTCACAGTTTGTAATATGCCATAATGACCCCCAGGATTCTTTAAATACAATCCGCCTGGGCTGGGCATTTGCTGGGGCAGAGGGGTCGGGCAGGGACTGCGGGGAGGCCCTGGGGGTTGCTGTGGGGCCACCACGCATCCTCCTTGGGCCTCCCGCCCTCCCCTGCAGCGAGGCCGGGCCCTGAGGCCCCGGAGCGGAGGCCCGGGGCCCGGGAGCCGGCTCTTTGCGCGGGGACGGAAGCGGGGAGCACCAAGGGGGTGGGAGGCCAAGTCCTCATTTGTAGGGAGATCTGTGGAGTCTAAAGCGAGGTTTAGGGACGGAGACCCCAAGGCCTGGGCGGGGGAAAGGGCTTGCAGATAAGCCGAGAACGAGCTAGCGAGGGATCAAGGAGGAGGCGCATGGTGAAAGAGTTTGTGCGGTGAGGGAGGGGATCCAGAGTTGACTTTCAGGTCCATATCTGACTCCCTAATTTTGTCTTAGGGAATCAAAACACATCAATTGTGCCAGTGATAAATACAGAGTGTGTGATTAGGAGGGAGGTGGGGGAGCGAAGGAGGAGAGAGATGGGTGGCAGGGACAGTCCTGGTCACTCTTTCTGCTTCTCCTCTTCTGTCTCTTCCCGCTTTTCCTCTTTTCCGCCCAGGCTGTCGGCCGCGGCCCCTCCACCGCCCCCTGAGAGCGTGGACGTGAGATTAGATTCCTTTTTCCACTTCATCCGGCGATTCTGGAACCAGATTTTGATCTGTCGCTCGGTCAAGCAGAGCGCATTGGCGATCTCGATGCGCCGGCGCCGTGTTAGGTAGCGGTTGAAGTGAAATTCCTTCTCCAGTTCCAGGGTCTGGTACCGCGAGTAGATCTGCCGACCGCGCCTCCGGTCCGCTCCATAGCCGACCCCTAGAGATCCGGGCACAAAACACACTAAAAACAATCAGCAAGGCTTCCTCCGCAGACGATTTAGCCTAGCGAAGTCCTGACCCTCCCAAGTTGGCAAGCAGGTCAGGGCCCCCTTGGGTTCCAGCCTTCTCCCCTGTGCCCGGCCCCACCCCCACTGGGGGTATAACCAGGATCCCAACTTCATTCAGTTTCCACCATAGGTTGGTAAGTGTGCGGCCCAAAGAGTGTGTGTGTGTGGGGGGGGGGGGGCAATAACCAGGCAGAAAGCTGTAAGTCTAAAAGCTGATTTTTGAAAAATCTCAAACACTGGGGATGAGGGCCCCATTTCTCAATGACTGGGTTCCCCCCACCTCCCCAAGTACCCTAGCTCCTTAGGAACTTCTCCCCACTTCTCTGCTCCGTCCTTTCCCCCTTTTTTCTCCTCAACCTGAGTCGACTTTGGGGTTCCCCCATCCTCTACCCCCTCCCCTCATCCCCTGCCCTGTTCCTGCCCCCTCAGCTCGCCTTGGAGCCTTCCAATCCGTCAGGGGCCGAGGGGGCCAGGCTCCTGTGAGCAAGCGGGAGGCTAGCAGAGGGGGCAGAAGAGGGGGCCCTGTCTCGGCGTCGGCGAGGAGACGAGCGTGATTGTTTTTATGGGGCCATAAAAAACTCTCTCCGCCCGTTCTTCTAGGGAAGCCGGTCATAAAGCCAGTTCAGTTTATTTAATTTATATCTTGGAGCTGTAAAACTCACCACTGTGCGAATTCATTCGCTGCATCCAGGGGTAAATCTGGATACTGGCTTTCTGGTCCTGGGGCGCAGTCCTGCCCTGCTCAGAACTAAAATCCTGAGCGATTGAGGTCTGTGTGTTATGTCCTAAGGTGTTTTGTCTGCAGTTTGAGAGCATGTCTTTCTCCTGGTAAAAGGAATTAGATCCATAGTCATACGGCCCCCGGCTGGAACTGAACACGACATTCTCCTGTGGCGAATAAAAGGGAGTCGAGTAGATCCGGTTCTGGGCAACAGCCGCTCCATAGGTCGAGAAATGCCTCACTGGATCATAGGCGGTGGAATTGAGGGCGACGTTGGGGAGGACGTCCTGGCCCCCGGCGAGGTGGCAGGATAAGGAAGGGTTAGTGAAGTAGGAATTCATCCCTTTGCCTTTACCTGGTCGGGCTATGATTTCTTTAATATTTATTTCTGTCTCCAGTTTGTACTCGGAACTAGATGGTTATAGGGACGGCTCCAATCCAGGACAGACAAAATGACAAAGTCAGCTGACCCCCTTCCAGCCAATCGCAAGCCAGATGTCAAGAAGGGGGAAAAAAATCGCTTCTGCTTCTGTTGATTCCCTAGTTGAGACTAAGTGTGTGCTTTGAAAGTAAGACTTGGATTTCTTTAAAATATATATACATAAGGGAACTGATTTCGAGGTGAAGGAAGGGTGAATGTCCGTGAGCAGGGCCTTGGGGCCCAGGAAAGGAGAGCTGCTTTCCCAGGAAATCTCTCAGCTCCAGCTAACTTTGCTGTGCAGTGGCCAGAGCCAGGGCTAGAGAAATCCCTGTATTTTCGATCTGATTTCACCTTTTATATCTGCCCCCTTCTAAAATTGCATCCTGGTTTCTCCATGAGAGAAGCTCCTTCCCAGCTCAGGGGGGATCCCCAGAAATCCTACAGGAAATCCTGGTTTGACACTCAGTGAAGTGGGTCCTCCTTGCCAAACCAGTATATTTTTTCCCAGTAATTTTTTTAAAAAAACTACAAAGTAGAAATAAATTGCATAAAACATGGTACTCAGAGGAAGGAGAGTGTGGCTGAGAGTCTTAGGTGTAGGGGGAATGTGGGGAGCACACAGGTCTCAAGGGGTAAGGGTGAGACTTCAAGGTAAAGTGGCAGAGCTGAGCAGGGCAAAGGGGCCAGGCATCTGCCTTTTTATCCCCCCTGCTAGCCCCTCTCTGCCTTCTTCTCAGGACCTCATTTTTGGCAGAAACTCTTACAGCATTTTTCCCAAATAGGGATAATGTATAAAAATACAAAAGAAAGGGGAGAGAAAAAAGTAAAAGGTAAGAGAGAAAAAGGAAGGAAGGAAGGAAGGAAAGGAGGAAGGAAGAAGAAAGAACTCTGGGAGTCTTTCTAGACACATCAACTCCTGTTTATGTTGGTGAGAATTTATGATTTGGAGCCAGCTAGGGACAGTGGGGTAATTCACACAAGATCCAGCCAGGAAGAGAAGGCTGGTGGAGTTCTGATAGACTGTTAGCGTCTTGCAGGCTCAAGCCCTTGTACAGGTCAGAAACTCCCTGCCCCCTCCCCGCCCTCTGCCCTGACAAGGGAGGCGCCCCTGGACCTGAGCTTTGGGGCTTGGAGATTCCAGCAAAGCATTCTTAGGGAGCTCTCACCCAAGGGCCAGTCACACCTGGTAGGGCCCAGCCTCTTAGCAGCGCCTACCCCCATTTCTTTCCACCCTGTGGCTCAGAAAAAGGGAGAGAAGGTTAGGAAAAGGTAGTTGAGTCCGAGGCTTCTGTGGAAGCCGCAGTGGAAGAACTGAAACAGCGGAAAGTGTGCAGATGGGATTTTTCTCCTGATTAATCCAAAGTTAATTTGATATTGTGGCACAGGCTGAAAATGCTTTGAGTTGACAAAGAAGGGGTGGTGGGGCAAGCGAAGCTCATATTCCTCCCCCCATCATTTTTGGGGGGAGGGGGAGAGGATTGGCTATAACAAGGACCCGGATGTCGCCGGATTTTATGATCTTTTCCTTCTGTGTAACAAAGCGGAGTAATCAATGGGTAGCAATAAAGCCATAAACGGGACTACGCTGGGAAAAAACTCGTTTATTCATCTTCTGTAACATTAAGGTTTCCCTGGAGTGTCGCTAGGGGCGAAAAATAAAGTTTCGAACCCAAAAGCAGACAGTGTGTAGGAGCTGGTGGAGAACACATGTTAGTTAATACATGAACCTCGTTAGGAACTGAAGAGTCTGCCTGCTAGACAATTTGCGTTGGCTTTAAAAAAAAAAAACAACAGTCCCAATCCTTCAGAAAAGAGGAAATTTTGTTGGTATTTAGAAAGGTAGGGGAAAGACCCCTATAATTACGAAGGTTACCCCTCTTGGACCATACTTTCTTCTCTCCCAGGTGATGAAGGTGAAAAGGTAGAGGAGTGTTCTTAAATTAAGAAAGAAATTTCGAGATGAGTTGTCTCATTTTGGGGTGACATGGCAGATACACAAACAGACACCAGCATGAATTGCTTTCTACTCTAGAATCCAGCTGTCCTCGAATTCATGGCATGCCTGGACAGAGGTTTCCACCAGCTGGCTGGGGCTCCAGGCCCCCTGGAGGGCAAGAGGGAGAGGGAGAGAAAACTAGGAGTGGGGAGACCCAGGGGGCTGAGCTAAGGAACAAGTCAGTGCACCCCTTGACACAAGTAGCCGTTCACAGAGTTCCCAGCCTCAATTCTTCCCTAAAGGTAGTGTGTAACACGTAGAATAGGCCGAAGAAAGAGTAACTCCCCGCCTCCATATCAGAGGGAGATTGCTAGAGGGATAAATCATGTCAGTGATATTTCCTTCAAGATATTAAATTGTTGCAATGTACAACAAATTGAATGATGGAAGATAGGATGTCTTAATGAGGTTTCGCTTTCAATGCGTAGATCTTCTATGTATTTTTAAATCTCTTTTATGGTGGGTGGGAGAAGGAAGGATCTTGGAAGAAGGGACTTCTGGGGACGCACGTGCTGCAGCTTCCTAGCACAGATTCCTGGATTTCCTTGAGCCCCTCCTAAACCAAGTCTGGAGGGGAAAAGGGCCCCAAAGTTGGGGAGAGTCTCCACTGGGGCCCTAAGGTGGTGGGCGTGGGGGCAGGCGACCTGAGGAGCAGAATGTAAGTCTCAGCCCCGGAAAGTTAAGTGTTTTATTACGTCCCTAAACAGAAGGCAGAGACTGAAAGGTCTCCCGGATTTATAATGAACAGAAACCAGCTGCTGGGGGAAAAAGGCAGAAATGCTGGAAGGGGGAGAGAAGGGGAAGCAGAAACACAAATAATTTCCCCCAAAATGAATTTCCAACACACTCTGTCCTATCACCTTCCGTTCCCGGGGAAAGAAGCCTTCTTCTTTCAGTAAGATCTTTAATTATGCAGCTGAAATTTGCTGGAAGGATTCGCTCCAAGGGGGGAGAGCAGGTCAGATGAGCCCGATCTTCCCTCCATTGGATTAAATTTTCCTTTTCTCATTTCATATTTATTTTATTTTATTTAGTGAAAGAACGACTGTCTATGGGGAGAAAGTTGGGACTTGGATTTTTCTAAATATATTTATATTTTCTTGTTAAATTTGTCTGAAAACAATTATGGAAACTCATCAACAGAAGCAAGAACAGATGTTTTATTAAAACTGCAGTTGAGCTCTGTAAATATGCACAAATTCTGGGAAGGTGGTGGTGGGGGGGAACTTATTCTTTGTTTCCATATAATAAGCCTAGAGAATCAGAGAAAACCCCCCATCAGGCCCGCAGGTCTCCGAGTTGCTCTGCCCCTTCGGCCTCCGGAATTAGGCATTCCGAGGAGGTTTGTCGGCGAGAGCAGATTTTCGCTTTGGGAGCTATAATTAGTGGGTTCAAAAACAGAATTCAAAAAACACAGAACAGGAATAAAGAGGGAAAGTTTCTGCTCGCTGCTCCAGATCACCTCCCCCCCCAATCCAAATCACATGCTTTTCATGAGCGCTAATTACAGGAGAGGAACTTACTGCAGGCTCCCCATGGGCCTAAGTGGGGTACATTCACTGGCCTGGAGTCACCCAAGGCTAAGGGTTGCATTGGAGACTGGGCACTTGAGAGTGTCTCCCAGGGTGAGTCAAGCGCTCCTTCTCCAGACTTATACTGCTCCAGGCCAGGGACTAGGGCCTGTGTACATCTGAAATGGGGAGAACATGGGTGGGACTGGACTCTAGCCTGAAAGGGGTTCATGGGCAGGTCTCACCTTGCTTGCCTTTGCTTTCCATTCTGCTCTAGAAAATATATTAGTTTCTTGGGGAAGGGTATCTGAAGTGAGAGGGATGAGATCTGGAATTTTTATTTGAGAGCAGTCTTTTCCAGAGGTCCTGATTAGTTTGCGTTCTGCCAGTCTTCTTTCTTTCCCCAGATCTTCCATCTCTACGTGGATGTCTGTGATCCACCTAGCCTCACACACAGATACACAAACTCCATTCCTGGCTGCCGGCGCCACCAACTACAGCTCGGCGCCTCCGGAGGCTGCTCAGGGACGGAGACATTGGAGCTGCAGGACTCAGGGCTCGGCCTGGGCAGTTGGCTGCCTGGAAGCCACTGCAGCTGCCTGACCTACCCTCCCAATTCTCAATTCCCAGAGCGGGAGAGGAGTGGTTGCCCCACCGACCCCTTTTGTGCCACAGGGCGAGGGCTGAAATCCCTCTTGCAGAGAAAGCCGAGTTTCAATAATTGTTCAGCTCACCTCACAATCGCACTGTTTGGTTAAGGCTTTGCTGTTCTAGAGCGACTGCTCAGTTGGCCCGACTGGCTTATGATTAGATTTTTTATTTAAAAATTAAATGAATAAATCCTACTCCAAACGCCTAGTGTTTTTGTGCATGAGCTCCTTTGATCTCCACAGAATCCGGAGCAAAAGGATTGCAAAGAGTCTATCAGTCTGCCAGAGAACCTGAACACGGGGAACTGGGTCTGTTTGGGGATACCAAAGAATAGTTCACCCTAGGAGCCCCTAGTTTCTCACAGATATGGTGAGGGAAGTTGTCTGAGCACATACCTCCCCATATACACATTGCATTCCTTAAAAGAATACTCCCCCTTTCAAAGTTCAGGCATGGAGACACTTGGGAAAAAAGGAAATCTGACACACCCAACCCGGAAATGGATTCCACTTGGGGGTGCTGATATTCTGGGGACAGGGCCCAGGCTGGCCAGCTGAAGAAGCTGGGGGTCCGCAGGGAGGAGGGAAGGAGGAAGAGGCCAGATGGGGCATGTCAAGCATCTGAGAACTGCCCCAAACACCTCAGAGGCCTGGGCTGGTGACTCCTCTTTTGAGCTAAGAGGTTTAGAGTCTGCCCAAGCTGCTTTTGTTTTATTTGCCATTAAACAGAGAAGAAAGGTACACAGAGGGGTTTGCTAACTCACATCGTATTTCCCTTCCTCCTCCTCTCTTTCCAGATTTCTGCCTAACCTTTCTTTATTACCACTCCACTTACTGCTGCTACCATCAGCAGACACCAACTCCCACATCAGCATTTGTTTGACTGCTCAATTCACTTCTCTGGCTGAAGGTTTTAAAAGTAAAACAAGTCCCAAGCGTCTCTGTCCCATTACACTCAGCCCTGAGCCCCAGTTGGTTCCCTCTAGAAGGAATTATTTCTGGGTTTTGGGGCCCTGCCCCCAAGCCTTCCACTTCTATCCCAAGCAGCTGATTATCAGCTGAGGAGGGGGCACGCAGAGAGCCTTCGAACACAGTATCTCAATCCCATTGGGAATGGGACTCAGACTCCAGTGACATTTCAGGGAGGCAAAGCAAAGTGGTCCTGCTTTGTCCAAGAGGAAAAATGAAAAGCAAGACTATTCTGAATATTTTTGGCCCCCAGAATGAGGCTAAAAGGATCCCCCTGGCTTCTCTAATACCCCTCCACACTGAGCAAGCACTGCTTATACCCATTTTGGAGGTTTACGAGAATTGTAAAATTCAAGAACGTGGCATTTATGACGTCACCGTGAGTTGTCATGAGGAAATTGTAAATGTCATAAAAGTTATATACAGCAGGAGTTTTGTGTGTGGGTGCCCTGCCTCCCTTTATTTGTTTTTCCTTTTCCCCTTCTTCTTTCACTGGTCTAAGTTCTCCCACTTGAAAATAAAATGTTATTATGTTCTGGAACAATAAGCCAACAATGAAACATAGTCCTCATTTCCCTATAAATAATTTTATCCTTTATTGTTTGCAGATCTGAAAGAACTATTTAATCTGCACTGGCAAAAAGAGGGAGAGAGATGGGGAGGGGGAAATTAATTTCAGAAACGAGAATATTACTTACTTCGATGATACTCTTTTAGATTTGATAGCCAGGAGCAAAATTAGAGGCGAACAGCGGCCTCTCCGACTCTACACCTGGTGGGATGGGAGATTTATAGGATCTTTAGCGAAGGGGCAATTTAATTTTGTAGGATTTGCTTAAATTCACTGCTATTTTGGGGGGCTGAGAAGGGAGGGTGAGGAAAGAACGACATGCTTTATCTGGCTTTATGAATCCGCCAACATTACTCTGATTTAAAACCTAACAACCTGTGTCTCAGGGAAAACTCCTGCAGAAAGGAGTGGGGGAATGGGGGAGTGGAATGAGGGGGGCTCGACTTTTTCAGTGACTGTGGCCCCTTAAAACAAGCAGTTGCCAGGGGGTAAGGAAGAAAAGCTGAGGCAAAGGGAGGACTTGAAGTCCCTCCACCACCAGGACACCAGAGGTTTATGATGTCCCCATAATTCCCCCAACCCTATAAACAGCTGCTGATTTTAGGACAATTTCTGCTTCCTCCTCTCAGAAAGGGAGAGTGAGGGAGGAGGTAATGGCGGGAGCGGGTGCCGGAAAGGGGAGGGAGTTTGGATAACGCTGCACTTTGTTCTCCTGGGTGAGTTTGCTGGTTTGGCGGGTTTCTGACACAGGGTGGCAGCAGACAAAACAAGTAAACAACTCCTCACAGACACAATAAACAGGGGCGGCTGCAGCACCATGACAGAGGCCGTGGGCCAAAGGAGGGACATGATTTGGGGGTAATGTCACCCCAGCATCCCAGAGTGCGCGAGGCCGCTCTTGGTGCCAGCGGAGATAAGGTGGAAGAAAGCTACAAGACTCCGCACCCGCAGCATGTCTGGACCTGATCACCTAGGGAGTGGAGGAAAACCCCGCCAGCGTCTCTCCTGTCCTTACTTTCTTTTATGGGTTTTCTCACTATTTATCATTTATATTCCCCCCACCCTACTCTGTCTTTCCATGGCCCCAGAAGGAAGAAAGGCTAGGAAAGGAGGCTGGTTAATTCCCAGCCATGGCTCACACTCAGCACTCCAGGCCCACAGGAAGCTAGACCCAGTTTCTCTTCTGGCACTAACCGGTCAGCCTTCTCCCCAACTCAGGTAGCAGACAGAATTCAAACAAAGTCTCATCATCTGGGTATTTGGTGAACTTAGCCTCTAATCTGCCCCGCAGAAGACGTAGGCAAATCTTGGGCCCAGTAAACTGATAAGGTGAGCAGGGCCGAGAGACAGATGTTCACCGCACCCCTACCTATTCTGGCACCTTCTCAACTGGCCTCTCCATGTACCCTAGGGGCAGCCATTCCAGACCACTGCTCAGAGGCCACCTTATTAACCACTTCAATCCCCTTCACTGTCCCAGCAAGGCTTCAAGCACCAGGGCCCAGCCGACTGCTGGCAGCCCCACCTTACCCACGAGTTTCCCACAGAACTCACTTTCAACACAACTGGGCTTCCCCTGGTAAAACAGTCTCTGAGCTGGGGAAGTTTGGGGGAAGGTGTGGAGAGAAAGCAGAAGGGATCAGTATTTCCCCAGCCCCGATGCTTGGATAGCAAAGGCAATAAGGTAGAAAAGCCTTTGTGACATCCACTGGTTACTGGAACCCGCATACTCCGATTTCAGCACGGAGACATTTCCAGCAGAGCATGCACAGAGGGACTTCTTGGTGCACCCAGTACCCCCTTGAGCCCATGCGCATATAGTGAGGGTTAACGAAATTTCACATGCACATAAAACAGTGTTTGAGCAAATATAGGCATGGTAATACATGATTAACCATGGAAATTCGAGTCTATATATATTCATGCAAAAATCTGAGTCTGTACATTCAAGCCTGTATATAATAAGTGTATAAAGCTACCCAGCCTGGTTTTGGAACACAACAGCAAACCTAACAAAGCCGCATTCTGAAAACAAGGTTGCATTCTTCCTGTGGATCACAACTATCAGACAAGGGAGAGAAAGGGTTTGCTCTGCCCATTTCTCCTTTGCTAGGAACTGGCGCATGAAATACAGCCCATGGCAGGGCTGACAAAGCCTGTAAGGGGCAGGCCTAAGGTGCCCAAAGAGTGGGCTCAGAGGGGAATGCTGGGAGCATCGGGTTCCAGGGAGTGTTGCCAGGCACTGACCCACAGATTCAGTGCCTCTGCCCAACCTTAGCCCTGGGTGTGCAGAGTCCTTGAGCCAGATTCTATTCTCAGCAGCCTTGGCTATTATTAGATAATCACAGCAGTGCTCCTCTGCACTAAGAACCGTGTCTACAGGGAATTTGACCTGCAAGGAGGCTGAGGGTCGCCACTGGTGGCCCCCCTTGTGCTTCTGGTTGAGTGCCAGAGAGGGAGAAAAAGAAGGGAAAGAAAATCGAAAGTAAGGAGGGAAGTAGGGAGCTGGCTTAGGGGACCAGGTTTATACCCTGGCCATATTACAAAACTGGAAAAAAAGGGCCAGTCACTGCTGCTATACTTTCTCTGCATCCTTCTGTCTCATGAGTCTAGGGGTGAAGGGCGTGGGGGTCTGCAGGATCCTAGCCAGGAAGAGACAGAAAATCAATTGATAAAAATATTATATAAGTATGTGTCAGGATGGTGTTGTTAACCCGTCAGCCACGAACCCTAACACCCTGAAATCCCGCCAACAACGCACTGGGTTAGATCTCTGTATGCCAAGAGAAATAGCTCAGCCTTGCCCAGGCCCACCCCTCCAAAGGGAGGGGGCCCTTTAATATCCCAGGTGAATCCCCACTGGCCTGAGTGGCCTTCTCCAGAAACTGTTTCCCTGAGGGCAAAGGAGATTTGTGCCACCCCAGACAGTGCGGCCACCTGCGGGGAGGAGGGCAAACGGCGGGGGTCAGACAAAACACAGGCGAAAGAGAAATAGAGGCCTCACCGGTCGGCGGTTCCCACATTACTCCAGGAGAAAGGCTCCCATTTTCAGGCCTCCGGGTTCCCTCCACTGGCCCACTGTCCAACCCTTGCCCTTTCCAGGTCCCACAGACTCGAGGTCTCGGTGGCCGCGGCCTGGCTCCCGGCCCGGCAGTCCCTGGGCCACGCTGGAGCGGCGGG